TTCATCATCTTTATCTTCTTCATCATCTTTATCATTATCATCATTATCATTATCATCTTCTTCTTCTTCTTCTTCATTATCATCTTCTTCTTCTTCATCATCATCATCATCTTGGTCTTCTTCATCATTATCTTTATCTTCTTCTTTATCTTCTTGGTCTTTATCTTCTTCATCTTCATGGTCTTCTTCTTCTTTATCTTCATCATCATCTTGGTCTTCTTCATCATTATCTTTATCTTCTTCTTTATCTTCTTGGTCTTTATCTTCTTCATCTTCATGGTCTTCTTCTTCTTTATCTTCTTCTTTATCATCTTCTTCTTTATCTTCTTCATCTTCATCTTCATGGTCTTCTTCTTCTTTATCTTCATCATCATCTTCATCTTTATCTTTATCTTCTTCTTTATCATCTTCATCTTCATCTTTATCAGTCATCATCTTCTTTATCTGTCTTCTTCTTTATCATCTTCTTCATCTTCATCATCATCTTCATCTTCTTCTTCATCTTTATCATCATCTTTATCATCATCATCATGGTCTTCATGGTGGTCTTGGTCTTCTTGGTCTTCTTGGTCTTCTTCTTCTTTATCTTTATCTTTATCTTTATCTTCTTCTTCTTCTTCTTCTTCTTTATTCTCATGGTCTTGGTCTTCTTGGTCTTCTTTATTCTCATTATCTTCTTTATCTTTATCTTTATCTTCTTCTTCTTCTTCTTCTTCTTTCTCATTATCATTCTCTTTATCTTTATCTTCATTCTCTTCTTTATGGTCTTGGTCTTCTTGGTCTTCTTTCTCATCTTCTTTATTCTCATTATTATTCTCATTCTCTTCTTCTTCTTGGTCTTGGTGGTCTTGGTCTTCTTTATGGTCTTGGTCTTCTTGGTCTTCTTTATTCTCATTATTATTCTCATCTTCTTCTTCTTGGTCTTGGTCTTCTTCTTCATGGTTATGGTCTTGGTCTTCTTGGTCTTCTTTATTCTCATTATTATTCTCATCTTCTTCTTGGTCTTGGTCTTCTTGGTCTTCTTCTTCATGGTGGTCTTCTTCTTCTTCATGGTCTTCTTCGTGGTGGTGGTTCTTCTCATTATTATTCTCATTATTATTCTTATTATTCTCATTCTCTTCTTCTTCTTTATTATTCTCATTATTATTCTTATTATTCTCATTCTCTTCTTCTTCTTGGTCTTGGTCTTCTTGGTCTTCTTCTTCATGGTTCTCTTCTTTATGGTCTTGGTCTTCTTGGTCTTCTTTATTCTCATTATTATTCTCATCTTCTTCTTGGTCTTGGTCTTCTTGGTCTTCTTCTTCATGGTGGTCTTCTTCTTCTTCATGGTCTTGGTCTTGGTCTTCTTGGTCTTCTTCTTCATGGTGGTCTTCTTCTTCTTCATGGTCTTCATGGTGGTCTTTCTTCTCATTATTATTCTCATCTTCTTTATCTTTATCTTCTTCTTCTTCTTCTTGGTCTTGGTTATCTTCTTTTTCTTCTTTTTTCTTCTCATTATTATTCTCATCTTCTTGGTCTTTATCTTTATCTTCTTCTTCTTCTTCTTCTTGGTCTTGGTTATCTTCTTTTTCTTCTTTTTCTTCTTTCTCTTTTTCTTTATTCTTATTATTCTCTTTTTCTTTTTTCTCTTCTTCATGGTCTTTATTCTCATTATTATTCTCATCTTCTTGGTCTTTATCTTTATCTTCTTCTTCTTCTTCTTCTTGGTCTTGGTTATCTTCTTTTTCTTCTTTTTCTTTCTTCTCTTTATTCTTATTATTCTCTTTTTCTTTTTCTTCTTTTTCTTCTTTCTGTTTATTCTTCTTCTTTTCTTTTTTATTTTCTTCTTTCTCTTTATTCTTATTATTCTCTTCATTCTTCTCATTCTTATGGTCATTCTTATTCTCATTATTCTTATTCTCATTCTTATTCTCATTATTCTCATTCTTATTCTGGTCTTCTTGGTCTTGGTCTTGGTCTTGGTCTTTCTCATTCTCTTGGTCTTGGTCTTTCTCATTCTCTTCTTGGTCTTTATCTTTATCTTTATCTTTATCTTCTTCTTCTTCTTCTTCTTGGTCTTCTTGGTCTTCTTCATGGTGGTCTTGGTGGTCTTCTTGGTCTTGGTCTTCTTCTTGGTCTTTATTCTCATTATGGTGGTCTTCTTGGTCTTGGTCTTCTTGGTCTTTATTCTTATTATGGGGAAACAGCTGATTATTGATTAGGTTTGATTAAGAGTGATTAGAAGTGATTAGAAGTGATTAGGAGTGATTAGGAGTGATTAATAATCAAGCCTAATCAAGCCTATAGATTTGATTAGG